TTTTTTACAACGTTCATATTTTTTTCAATAATTTGAAAATTTCATCTGAAATTTTTATTCCCAATTACAGTAATCATGTACTAAATTTGACAAACTTTTTGCAGTAAGCTGAAGCAGACAGATCTCAAATTGTACATAAAGAAGTAAATAATTTGCATTTAATTAGTGCTTATTAACATTTAATGATGTAATTTGTAAGTTTTTTATTAGCTATTTGTTATGAATTTAGCTATGATCAAAAACGAATAAAAGTAATATTTTAAGAACTTTGCTTGGAACACTTGCAGATGTCAAAAATGGAAAATAAACGGAAAATAAATATTTTGATTTATTGTTAACTTATTAATTTATTCATTTTTATCACAGCACTAGTGCTAACAATATAACGGAGTGTTGTACTAACTGTTTTATTCAATCTACTCCTTATTAACTGATTAATTATAATTGTATTTCTATTTCTGTAATTAATTAATAAAATGATCAATTATGCTCACTTGTTTCTATTCGAACAACGGCGCAATAGTTGACATTTCGGATTCTGATGAGAACAAGTGGTTGCAAAGCGCGCCCCTTGCAAAGGGCTTTGATTTTGGCACTTTGAGGCCATTCACAGGCACGTCGATTTACTTGCTTTTGCTTTGACTTATTCGATTCCGCAACATGGCTTGCTGAAGAAGAAAGTGAAGACGTGTTGCAGTAAATTCATTACGCAAACTTTTTGTTACATGTTAACATAGACTTAACAAGTGAAAGTAAGTCTTGTGCATCACAATGTCAGGCATAAAAGTAATTTATAGACTTTGAATATTTTTATGGTTAATTACAAAAACAGCAGTTAGCAGTTAGTTGATGCACTTTTTCCGTGAAATAACAAGACTTATTTCTCATCTCATAGCTAAGTGTGAATGATTTTTGTAAGTAATATCCGAAATTAGAGAGATATAATATCATAATGCTCGTACTTTTTAATCGTAAATATGAATAAGCTCAATGTTATCAGTAATGATAACCACAGTATTGAATGTGCTAATCACGAGGCTGAGATGTATGACAACTACAACAATCTTTCCGTCAGCAACGTAGTTAATGATGATTAAAGTAAGTGATACTGGTAGTAGTAATGATAAGTGAATAAAAATAATTTCTTTGATTGTTATTTATTTACTCAGTAATATTTTCTCAAGTAAAAAATTTTCTCTTCGGCAATTTTCAGGAATATTATTTAGAGTAAGGAAGAAAATATTTACTTTTTATAATTTAGACATTTAAAATTTACACGAAATTATTTGGAAGAAAGAAAGAAATTATTGATTATTTTCTTGTTTACTCTGTTGACTGGTGAATTGATCGATTGAGTTTATTGGATTATAATATCAGTAATTATGGTAGTAATGGTAGCAGTAACAGTAACATTGAGAATAAGGAAGGTAGTTCTAAATTTCGTTATTAGGATTATTGATTTTGCCCATTATTCCGTTTGGTTTTTTAATGCCTCAGAAGCCTTTAACAAAATATGGCATGAATTTTTCTATTTCTAAAGATAGCTCTTGGCAGAATTTTCATTGTCATCTGTTATAAGATGTATGCTTCAAGGACGTTCGGAGGAAGGTCAGAAGTTTGACGCATTTTGTCCGCTAAATGGTAGAGATCGGATTTCGATAATAATTTATTCGTATTTACGGAAAATAAAAAAGTAAGTTATATTCACGAAAAATTAGAAAAACTTATTAATCTTCTTTGTGTTAATTGTGCAAACAATTCGTTTTTGTTTATTTTTATTCGAGTTATTTAAAATGTGTTGAATTCATAATTTTTATTTCAACTTTTGCTTTATTGTTCTGTACTTCTAAGCTTTTATATACAAAGTGCATATATCATTTTAACACAAAAATCGCTTATTTTTATTTGTATGAACAAGAAAGCATTATTTTTTAGAGTAAAAAACTCGTGAGGATATCCTTCAGTAGTAGTAGTAGTAGTAGTAATGTTATCATATTTCAATTTTCTGCACTTTAAAATATTTTTGTTTAAATTCATTTCTTCGTATTCTGTTACTATCTGAAGAGTTAAATATTTTTTTTAAAGAAAAGTGCGCATTTTTATTACTAAATTAATCATATTTGAATTGTTTTGTTGTTTATTAAAAAAATTAGCTTAAAAATACGAAAAAAAAGTTCTCTTCAACTGTTACAATTTTTCCCTTTGATTAATTCATTCTACTTGGAGAATTGGAATGAATTTTTATTTCAAATTTCATTATTTATTGCAGCTTCACATGTAATCAGAAACGTCATTTTTCTGCAAATTTTTACTTTTAATTCAAATTGATACAAAAAAATTCAAGAAGAGATACCCAGGAACAGGTTTGCTTACTTAACCGCTTAAGGAAACAATATTTTGCATGCGTGATGTGTACTAAATATTGTGGAAGTCAGCTGTAAACAAGAATTTCAGGTCTGTTTCTAGTTTAAAATTACTTCTTACTATTTTCATTATTTTAGCGAAATGATTATATTTACTTTGCAGAACGACTCATCTTATATTTGTTGGCAATATTTTTAAAATGCAAAGAAATTAAGAAAGATTACATTTTTAATTAATTTGATTATTTCTTGGGATCAGTTATTTAATGGAAACTAATTTCATATTTATATGGGGACTGTTTAAAAGTAATGTCTAAATTTTCGTATGCAGTCAGCAAAATTATTCACTGTACATTTATATTTACTTTTCATTTATCGTAAATTTTTATATTTTAATGATTGTACAGTACGTTATATAGGTGCAAAATAAAAGTGCTTAATTTTTTAAAAATTATTTCTTTCCTTATAGGTATATTGTACAGTTACTGCTTGATTATCTTTGACGTTTTCACCACTTATCTTATGACTTGATCTATTTATGCTGTTGCTACGAGTGCAGAAAGCATTTATGGGATATGCAATCATTTTGAAAATATTTTTTATTTTCAAAAATACTTTTTCCTGTACATGAAGCTGATTTTAGATATCGATATTTTGCGAAAAAGGCTTCTCTTCAATCACAGCTGACTATTTTGCAACAAAACATACCATTTTTTGACTTCACTCAGTTGAAGAGTTGGATTTTGTTGACAGTTTTAGCGGTTGTCATGTGTTATCTGTAGTATAAAAGATAAAATTGTTTAGTGATGCTGAAAATTTATCACTTAAGATAACATGCTATTTCATAGATTTATTGCTGTGAAGTAAAGATAATACTTTGGAGTCGATTTTTTCATATACGCCATGTTCTACAAATAATTTTTCATTGTTACATTTTAAGAGATGGATAAAAAAAGCAAAAAGATCTTTTGTCACGCCAGCAATAGACTGACGTGAATTATTGTCAGTATTTTTTTCAGTATATTAGTATGTTTTTCTCATAAATTGTATCAGTTTTTTGTCATTTTGTATTTTCATCGTTTGAAAATCTCCTTGTCAATATGGTTCAATATTTATTGCTATTTAGCAAATCGCTTTATTAGTATTGCATTTTTGTTATTTGTTACTGGAATTTGGAAACGATCACGCGATCTGGTATTATGATAAATTATTGGTATGATTACATATATATCACTTGTACGTTCGTTATCACTAACATAAACATGCACATTCTCTATTTATCATTTTTCTGACTTTTTTACGCTGGAATTTCCTGGATTATGATTCAAGTTTTTTTATCACTTTTTTTTTGACTGTGCACTTTAGTTTAAGATCCAATCATAGACAAAAAAGTTGTTTTGATACCGTGTCATTTTCAGTTTGCGTCTTCATTACAGTTTATAGCTTTTAAATTAAGCTTTTTTAAATATATCATTATAACTTTCAAACTTTCTTTCTTTAGATAATTATACTACTTATAATTTAGTTTTCTATATGAAGTTAGTATTTACATGTACTGTGATCATTATTACCATATTAAACGCATCACTATTTGTTGGAGTTTGAAAGTAATGTCTTGTGTGTAGACGTACTCGTGTTAATTTTATTTTATTCTTTGAACAGTTTCATTAGTAATTGTGAGAGATTTTAGGATTCAAGTGAAGGGGCAATGCATAATGATATTCGTTGTCCATTAAAAATTTTTCATCAAGAACGTGAGATCAATGTCAATGAACTTATATCAGTCAGCTTAAAAAAACAGTCTGGTTTCGAACTTACATTAAAGAATGATGCTGGACAAACTTGGGTAGTACCTTTTCAAACTAATCAAGAATTGTCAACGATTCCAAATAAGGTAAAATTTTTGGAGGAAAAAGGTATTTTATATGTTTAAAGCTGTAACAGAGTATGCAGAAAGTATTGCAAAAATTACTGATTACAATATTTATATTTTGTATATTTTATTGAAAATTTGTAAAAATATTTCATATTAAGTATTGGTTAAGTATTTTTCAGGCCAATATATCATGTCATTTCAATGGTGTTAGCAGATCTAATGAGCAAAGTGCTATGAGCACTTGTTCAAATTCACTTTTTGGGCAAGTTATATGTAATAAATATTTGCATCGACTATTTTTTATTTTTGAAGTTTAAAATTTGCACGACACTTCTCTTTGTATCAGAAGTGATAGAAATTATTAGAATTGCAGTGGAAGTGAAATGACTACTTCTATAGATTAATCATAACTCTTATTTGTTTACATTCAGAATCTGATCATTTTTTCATAAGACATTTCTAAATATGTGATATAAGTGATGAAAATAATATTTTTTTCATACATAGAACAGTACAATTTTTAGAGGATTATTTACGATAAAAGGTCGGCGCTTTATACTGCAGGCGGAACCGAATGGGTCATTTTATTTTGTCCCCTTGTTTGAGCATTATTGTGGTAAATCCTTCAGTTTGTGTCTTTTAGTCATTAAGTTTCGGGGATAATTTTTAAGTTTGAAAATTCTTTAGCATTGGAAAATTATTCATCAAGAAGCATAATCTATATTTCAGACTGGAATTCGAAGAAAAAACGTTCTATCAGTGCATCATATGATTACTACTCAGATTATTTGGATAGACGTTGGCGTTACGTAGAGTTAGCACTTATTGCAGATCATTTAGTGGTTCGTAGCACATTGAAACTTGAACAATTCAGTTTATAAAATACTTATTTAAAACTCTATCGAAAATTTGTCCTGCATTTTTTCCTGTGATTAAGTTCTAGTAAATCAATAAAACGAATTTCAAATGTTTATTAGTTTACTTTATGTGCATTAGCGTTTGATGGTATGAATTTACGTGACAGAAATTTTAGTACATTAAAAAGATTTATATGGATAGACTGTGTATTATTTATAATTCTGAATATTTCATGAAACTTTTTAATATGAGAACTATCATGAAAATCGAGGATTGAAGAGAAAATTTGTCCTCTGATGAAATGAGTCTTCTGATGATGAATATGTTTTTTTGCTAACTTTTTCTCCATAGTTATTAAATTGCAGTTTGAAAAGTATCATAAAAATGAAACCGAAATAATGGAACGACTAAATGCTATTACTAACTACATAAATACGGTGTGTAATTTCAATACTATTCGATTAAAACAAATATTTATTAAAAGTAGAAATCAAGTTGGGAAAAGAAAGGAGCTTGCTTATGAATTAGAATATTTTCTTTGTGATGTCACAGAAGGGTGATTTATAGCTGAAGACTTTGGCATAATGACCTTTATTACTTACTCATTTTTCTTAAATGTTTAAGTGGGGTCACTTATATTTATTTAAATTTTAACGAACATGGAAAAGGATTGTGTAATATTTTGAGTTTAGTATGACACAGGAAGGATAATGGATAAATTTAAAATATTTAAGAAAAATTATGAATACTTTTTTAATTCTATAAAATAAAATAGTAGATGGATTTGAAGTAGTTATTCTTGGAAAATTTCAAATAGATATAATTTATTCATTTCAGGTTTTTCATTATTCGCTTACTGAATTTCAAATGTTCCTTTTTAGTTGTACGTACCGTTAAATATTCGAGTTATTCTTGTTTGGGCAGATATATGGATGGATAATAATTCAATAGATATTTCGTCAAGTTCTGATAAGACGTTATGGAACTTTTTAAACTGGCGAAAAAGATTCATAAAAGATCATCCGCATGATAATGCCCAATTACTAACGTTAGTGTTTTTATAATATTGAATAGTACTTTTTAAATTCCTATTTCAATGACAATATTCTGTCTAAAATTACTCATTTTTAAATACTCATTACCGATATCATAATTATATTTCTACCACTTAAAACTGAAAAATAAGGTAAGATTAATGTGTTATTGTAATGTTGAGTCATTTTTTCACCATTAATAATTTTATAATTGTTGGTTAGTTTCTTTAATTTCTAATTTTAAAAAAGATTTTGCTCGTGGAATTCATCGAACAAGTTATTTTTTAGTGGGATTGTATTTGACAACAATGTTGTTGGAAAAGCTTTTAAAGGTACGATGTGTTCATATGATTTTTCGGGCGGTGTCAATATGGATCATAGTACCCAAGCTCAATACGTTGCTGCTACTATTGCACATGAAATGGGACATAATTTTGGTATGGAGCATGATATTGATGAAGCTGAATGTCGTTGTCCTGCAGAATCTTGTATTATGTCTTCAGCAACTGGGTATTATTACAGTACTTTAACTTGTATTTAAAATTTTGATTCTTTATTCACTCTATTACTGTGTAGTTTGACTAATGTATACTTTAACCAATTTTTTCGAAAATATTTATTCATAAAGTATTGCAAAAAATAACTGAATTCTGTGTTCGATGTGTTCATAAAGTACAACAATGATTTCGATATTTATATAACATTTTAGATCTTTTTCAAATTTCATTAACTTTCAAAATAATGATATACAAAATAGTTTCCTAGAAAATTATCTGTAAATCTGATTTCTATCTATTGTAGCATAAAGCCTCCAACATTTTGGTCAGAGTGTAGTTTACGTACATTGCAACATAGTCTTTCTCGAGGAGTTGATTACTGTTTACGTAATTCACCAGAAAGTGTATTTGGTGGTGCTAGATGTGGGAATGGAATTGTAGAAGCTGGTGAAGAATGTGATTGTGGGACACCTGTATGTTTATTTTCAAATTTTATAGAGGAACAGTTATAGTTCATTATTTATCCAATTTAAAATTGAATAAATGTTTAAAGTATGGATAAAAATTAATGTATAAATGTTCAGAATGCTTGCATCAACAAATGTTGTAATCCAGCAACATGTAAGTTAGTGGAAACAGCTGATTGTGCAAGTGGGGAATGTTGTGATCTAAATACTTGTCAAATGTTACCTGCATCAACCGTATGTCGTCAACCAACTAATGAATGTGATTTGCCAGAGTATTGTGATGGGCAGATGGAGCACTGTCCAGCTGATTTTTATGTACAGGATGGTCATAAATGCCCAGATCACGTTGATGTTAATGCTTTTGATATTTTTTGTGTTACTATACATGCAATTGTGCATTTATATCTCTTTTCCCTTGAATAGCAATGTGAGATTAGGAATTTTCGGAATTCATAATTTTATATCTTAATTTTAATAGTCAGAATATTTGTAAGTTTGATTTCAGTTATTGAAGTTTTCATGCAAAATCATTTATAGGATTACTGTTATAATGGCTATTGTGGAAGTCGCGATGCTCAGTGTGAGTATATTTGGGGAATGACAGGCAAAAATGCTGCAGCGGAATGTTATGATTTGAATTTTTATGGTAGTAGTGGTGGAAATTGTGGCTTTGTGCATGAGACAAATCGTTTCATTCCTTGTCATAAAAGGTGGAATGCTTGCTAATTGTGGGAGATCTGTAAATATGTAGGATTATCTTGGTTATGCCATTTTTTAAATTTCAAAAATAATTTATCAGTCGTTTTGGCTTGTCCTATAAGAATTGATACTATCTGTTTAGATCTATTTAATCGTTTTGAAATACACTGATCACATGCAGTGAAACCTGAATAAAGACTTTAGTAAGTGTGCGAGATGAAGTTTCTCTTATTAGTGGTTTTTTAATTCTAAATTACGATTTTCAATTCACTTATAGAGTTTGTTATTACTATTTTAGTAATGTCAAATGTGGACGATTGCATTGTACCCATGAAAATGAAAAATTGGCATTTGGTGATCCATCCACAGTTTATACTGCATATACAGGTTTACGATTAACAAATAATGAAGATGTTGCGTGCAGAGTAGTTTGGACAAAATATGTCGGTGGCAAAAAAAAACCTGATCCCGGAATGGTTCCAGATGGTGCTAGTTGTGGTCAAGATAAGGTAAATTAAAGGATTTTTTTCTTACGTAAAACTGTTTCTGTGATTACTTCATTCGTAGTCGTTTAGATGTGCGTTGATGCTGAGTGCTCAAATCGAACTGCAAAAGTATTGATGGCACCGAAATGTGATCCAATATCATGTAATAACGCGGGTATCTGTAATAATATGGGTAACTGTCATTGTGTGCCAGGTTATGGTGGGCCATCCTGCGCTATTCCTGGTCCTGGCGGATCAGTTAACAGCGGTCCAGCTGTAGAAGGTGGTGTTGTACATGTAGGATTTGTAGCATTCTGGTTTTTGTTGGTGTTAGGTATTGCTTTTATTGGGGCATCGATTGTCGTGAAACGAAAGAAAGATTTTTGGCTGCACAAAGAGTTTGTTTTCTTGAATTTCTTTCGATTCATATATTATTCATTAGTTAAACATTAAGTTTTTTCATCTCCTTACTCATTCATTTCATGTTGTATAACGAGTATCAAACTAGTTATGGCATTTTTCAATAATATATTTTGCTCATTTTGAGGCATCTGTGTAAATTATTACAAAATTTTATTTATCTGTGAAACGTTAATTCATTTGTATTAATATTACTGCTTATCACCATGATATTTTAGAATATGGGGAAAGCTGAAAAAAGTTCTAAGAATTGAGAAGTTGCTCGTACCAATTCGGAAGGCACCGCCACCTCCTAGACCAGCTATACGTACGAGTGATCTTAATAATTTGTGGGGTGATCAATTAGATCTTGCCCAAGTACGCTACAATCAGCAACCTCTTCCGCCATCTATAAGTCTACCTGTTGTTTCACCTGAGAATTTGAATTCACTCCCTTGGAAATCTAATATTACTAGTCGTAACTCAATGAGACCAACTGTAGCTCCTCCACGGGTGATGAGTTGTATCTTTTTATTTTGAATTTATATCTTTTTAAAAATTTTTTATTTGTACTGCAAATAGAAAAAATTGAGTTGTAGTTCTACTGAAGGCATTTTGTAACATTCTAGTTATAAAATTCTAATACATGGTTCATGTCACTACATTTTGCATCATTTTATTCTTTGTATATTTTGATTTTTCAAGGTACCACAGCGCCCTCAAAGTGATGCTTTAGAAGCATTTTATACAGGAAAAGGCGCTGAAGTAGGGATTATTCCAGCTGCTTCAACGACACCATCATATTATGTTCCAACTGAGTCTTGTACTTCGAAAATATCTAAATTCGGAAGTTTTAGACCTGAGCAGGCACCACCTCCACCACCTCATCGTAATCAAGTAATTAACTTTCAAACGGAAAAAATGTTACAATTTGATTTTTAGTCGTCATACTTTTAAAAAATTTTCAATGTTTTGAGCTTAAAAGATTAATGAGCATTGCTTGCCCATTTTGTATTTCTGAACTCCGTAATTATCTTAGTTTGTTTTTGGAAAACTATTGATAAGTGACGGTATACTGCTTTATTATCACGACAATTTTTTTTTCCTACTAAAGTCCAAATTAAATTTTGCTTCCAGTCAAATGTAATTATTGTTGAAAATAATTATGTTCACTATGTTTTTTAATATAAAATCAGAAAACATTTCTCACTTCATGCTGCATATTAATTTAAATTTATTTTAGGCTGCAAATAATGCTAGATCAGATGATAAGATTAAACCTGTTCTACCGGCAAAACCTTTGATTGTAAAGGATTTAGCTTCACGTTTCGATCCAAAGTTATCGCAAGTATCCGCTAAATTCATATAATGTATTTGCCTAAATGTATACATTGTGGCGTTAATTGTTGCAAATATGTATATTAGGCACACAGTAGTTAGAACTATTTATTTAATTGAACTGTTGGTTTTTATGAATTTATTGTGATATTTTCGTCTCGTTTAATATCAACTTGACAGCCTATGTGCTATTAGTTTTTTGCGTTTATTATTGCTACTGTTCCTCGTATAGCTGTCATTTTGTTATGGACCAAAATTTATCTGTCATTGTCATCCATTATCCTAAAGGTTTTTTATGAATTTGTGTAGATGAAACACATTCATGAAGTAGTTTTTCAAGTTCATTTCTAGAAGTAGCATCAGATGTAGTTGAAGTTTTTTGTTCCTTTTAATATACTGCTAGCACCGTTATCAGCTATACTATCCTATATCTATATTTTGCTGATTTTTAGCCTTTATTAGCCGATGGACGGAATGAACTACTGTTTAACGATGAAGAACTGTCACTTTTGAATATATCAAAACAAGAAACGTAATCTATTTATTATGGTAAGTTCTCTATATATTTGGCAAAAGGATTACTTAATGTTGTTTCCCTGTTTAGAAATGAGAAAGTAATAATAAAATAGGAATATTTTTAAATTCAAGTTACTATAGCATAGTTTTTCATGTAATCTGATAATTCAACATCTAGCCACAGTTTCAATCATTTATTAGTTGTGAAGTGTTATTTAGATATTGCAACTTGTTCTTAAATTTATAGTTATACAGCTTATAGACTGGTATAATGACAACTTACGCACTGTTTTGTCAATAATATAAAATGAGACAATGGTATTTTATCACAATTTTTACATAATTTATATTTGATAATTATAAAATTGACAAGTATGGTAAAATTATTGTAGATGAGTAGATGTATAGATGAATCAGTGGCGTATGTTGTAAATTAGTAAGCATCGCGTAAATATCGTTTTAGAAAATTGAAATTTTGAGAATGCTTACGTATTTAGACAAGATATACGTGTTGATGGTTATTACGGTTAGCAAGATAGTTCAAAGCAAGGAGTAAATTCTAATTTTATCATTTTTGTATACTTTTTTCTTGCTGTTATGGACATCATCTTGTTTGATTATTTTTAGCTTTATTTTAAAAAAATTTTCTGTAAAATAAAATATTGTTTGCAACACTTTTAATCATCTTTGCGAAGAATCTATGATTTTTATTTTTATCTTTGTTCAACATTCTGTCTACTTTTTATTTTTTCGTAGTTTACAAAGTTATACATAGCTTGATTAGCATCAATAAATGGAAAGTGATATTTGTAAGGTACATAAAATGAATATTTTGTGTGCATATACGTGGTAATTACGTTATGCAAGTTTTTGCTTAGTGAGAAATGTTGAAATTTTCAGATATTACGAGAAATGATGTGTCATATATGAAAAATTGTTTGTCATATGAAGTATGAATTGTTCTTCCAATAATCATATTTATTTTAAATTTGTAATGAACACGAAATGTAAGTGAAATGCGAAAGTATATTCATTGGAGCATAAATATCAGTAATGGAAATGATGATAATATAAAATCTATCTTGACAATTGAGTATTTTTCTCTCTTTCCGAATATGTTTCACGGAAATAGGATATTCTCTACTTTGAATTGAATATGTATGTTTTTGATTTATTTTTCATTAATTCAATTTAAGCACTATTACACGTATTGTGTTGCCAGTTTTTTTGCTTTTGTACTGCCTGTTTTTCTTTGCCATATAATTTATTGTAATTAATTAAAGTAAATGCTTCCGTATTGTTCTTTATTTGCATGAATAAATTTGTGTTGAGTATTATTTAAACAGTATATTATGGAGATAGTGTTTTTAGATGCAGCAAATTTGCAAATGTTATTTAAAAGCTGCCTAATTGAATGTTAGAAAATAATTCATTCTGTTTAAAATACAAACTTAATGAAGAATTGTAACAAATTATACTTTTACACATCTTATACATTTTTTATTATAATTTAAACTTAGTAGTACACTGCAGCCTTCGTTATAATAATTCTTGTTTTATTACTAAAATAGTATTTCCTTTATCGATATGAGGGAAGATTTCTTTGGTATTCTCGTAATCTTTATTTGGAAGTAATAATTTATTATAATTTCCAAAAACAAACGTTAATCGAAGTGATATGAAATTTTTCACTAAAATTGTTCCCTTACTTCTCTCTCCATCCATAAAATTTTTTATGGATGCACTGAAAGAATTTGAAAGGTACCAGCGTGGTCTAATTTCTTGCTTTATGATCACTGATATCCTTATCAGCTATTCTGAAAGTGATGAACAAATGTCAGAGTAAACATATCTCTTTATCATTATTTATCTTTTTTGATCGGCAAACTTCTCATCTAAAACATTTTTCGCTATTCATTTGGGTGCTAAATTTTTTTTAATCTTTGAGAGATTAGATGTTCTTTTTAATAATTTGTTCATTCCTGAAATGATTTTTTATCAATATTTACAGTTTCATTTCAGTCTTATCTGTCTTAGTCATATTTTGCAATAAAATTAATGAAGTGATTAAGTCCTCACAGAATATTCATTTTTAGATTCTATATTTATATTTTGACTAAAATTAAAACAAGCTTGGTTTATTCAGTAATCCATGATGTTATGATCATAAAAGCTGTTAAGTTAGTGGAATAATTTTATATCTGACTTACATACATAAAGAAAGCTATTATATTTTTAAAAAATATTTAGAAAACGTAAAAGTCAACAACTGTGCGGTAACGTAATCCCTGCAATGCCACGAGTACGAATGTACAGAGCATGGTCGTCTAATTTCAATATTTATAGATAGATCTGATCTAATTTAAGTCTTTATCGTACTATTAAAATTTGTCATGCAGCTTGCAAATTTTTTCAGCAGAAACTTAGGTTAAGTTAACTCTGATGGTAAACAGTTATACTTGATAAGGTAAGATTTATTTTTGTTTAATAGATATATATGTATATATATTGAATCATTATTACTTTTATAAATTTAATTTCAAAGACAAAAATTTTTTAAATTACAACATTCATGAAGATATCTAAATACTGATACACACATCAGTATTTGAATTGACTGTAACAGTGATAGAATATACTAGATGAAGAATACTGAATGATGATAGCAACAATAGTAATAAATGTGCAAATGAATATTTGTTGGAAAGCTACCGTACTTTTCTATTTGATTTCAACGACTTTTACAGGAAATAAGAAATTATTTGCACATTTTTCATTACATATTGAATCAGAAATTACTAAAAAAATGACCTGATGTGTGCTTGTATACAATGATGGTAGACGTACTGCTTTATGATATTAAAGAAGTTTTTGAAGACATTGTTGTATTTTGCGAGTGACGTGAATAATTCAAAATAATGATTCAAAAGAATGATAAAGTATTTCAGATTTTACAGCTTACTGCAAACATAATATTTTGGATAATATAAATATTTTATTCTTTATGAATAAAAATGAAGACAGTGTATTCATATCTGCTCAAGAAAGAGAAAGAGTTTCTCTACAATTTCTTTTTTCGTAAAATAAAATCCAAGTGAGACGGTATTTGGGGCTAAAGGTTATTCATGAAAAATATCTCCTGCTTGAATATTCACGTTTTATACTTTGAAAGTGTATACTGTTGTACATATGTAAATAAGAAATGAGCATATAAATGAATTCATAAAAAGTTGAAAGAGATTTTTATGTAAGGAAAGAATAAGTTAACGGATCAGACAGATCAGTAATACATTTGGTTCAAAAAATAGGTCAAAGGTAACAAATTATTAGAAGATTTTTTGCAAAAATGTATAAATATGACAATTATTAGCTAATCATGATTTATGCCCAAGTAAATTTTAATGCAAATTCAAAATTAAAAAAAAAATGCTCTGTTTGCCAGGATAATGATTTTCAATCGATTAATCAATCAATCAATCATTGCCAGAAAAATATGGAAATCGTCTCCATATTATGTTTAATTTTCTTCATTTTTTTACTGCAGAATTTTAAGAAAATTCCTGATATGCTAATATTATTATTACTTGTTGAAAAACATATTTAATCTCAGTCAAATTTCAAATATTATTGCTTTCAATATTTATCATTATTCGTTATAAATATTAATTATTGTTATTATTTCCTACAAAAAAAATTATTATCCACTTTATTCATCAAAGAATCGATAAAAAATTAAAAGGAAGCACTACTTTTATTGTGATCACTTTCTTCTACATAAAAAAGTATCCACAAGAAGTTTTATTTATTTATGATTAAAATTCGATTAAAGATTTTATTTTTCTTCATGTAAAAAATCAATTCGTCATGATGTACCTCAAAGATCACTTAATATTAAATTATTACGCTGATTTTTTTAAAAATGGCGTTCATTCGTGATTACTCTTTTAAGTAACTCTTATCAGTGCTATCAGTGCAACAGTCAAGCATAACACTCTCACAATTAAGCACGTTTATAGATATGACGTTAATCAGTGGATCCTATGAGTACACTTCTAGGTCTTAATAAACTGTCTAGCTCTGTTATAACACGCACAACACCAGATTGTATTTCAGTGTACTAATTACTAATTTGACCATAACTGTTAGTGATAGTTTATGCAAACGAGCCTAATAGATCACAACTTGTTGTGCACGCAACGAATGAAATAAATTGTCCTAAGTAGTTCATATGCTTTCTCCACGATCCCTTCACGTCGTAATTCCTTTTATTCATCGGAAATTCGTAGAATTACTAAATAAACTTTGCTTAATTTCAGCCTTTACTTATATTTTATCTTCCTGAATCATTAAATGTTTACTGATATTACGATCGTCTACTTTAATTCTTATAATGGACCGTAGAAACTAGAAAAAAAACTCAACATTTGACGCGTGCACGCCTGAACAAAATGCACACTAGTGATTTGTTAACGCGTAGTTAGTAGAAGACTATTCAGATTAATAACGTGAAATTATTTTGGGCACAGTAAGCAAACGTGTACATTATGAATGATTACTAATGCAGTGAAAAAAAAGAAGCCTTAAAGTTATTTATTACTTTACTGATGATGACACAAATGCATGCAATCAAACGCGTAATACGATAATGATACGTGTAACAATCGTGTTATAAAAGAACGTGTATTTAAATTTCGTAATGTACACGTTGAGTTATTTTACGTTATTTTCCCTACCCATAGAGAACTATAATATTCTTCTATTATATGTGAACATTACGTAGTCAAGAAGTGAAACGTTGACTGTTTGCTTTATTGCAATAGTGCGTTGATGAATAGGCATATCGATTGCGAGGGAAAACACACAACCAATCAGATTCAGGGGGGACTGCCCATTTAGTCATTATTTAGTTCGAGAGTGATCATTGTAATGGTAGACTTGACTCATCTCAACTGGTAGGTTTTCGTGTTGTTACTGCTCTATTCTCTAATATGGTTGGGTATTACCTTCATAATACTCAGACATACCTTCTAACCACCACAAACCGTTTTTAGACACCAGACATTAGGGAATTCCCCTGGAAAGCAAAGCAATCTTTCCAGACATTAAGGGATTTTCTTGCCGTAGTGAATTTCCCTTGCATGCACCATCTGAAAATATCTATAAATCTATAAAATTGTCCATGTTACCTTCATAGGTCATTCTTCTTAAATCGCGACTTCTCTCGGTGTCAGTAATGCTGGTGCTGTGATTACCATTACAACTAGTTCATATGCCCAGTTGTATGGGAATTTCTCGCATACTATACCTTCCGCAAACAACCTGAAGTTTCTCTAAAATTGTGAAAAAGTTCCTTATGTAACGGCAAAACCCTTCAAATAACGGGGGATCCCCTCAAGAAGAGCACGTCAGCAGGAGAGGCATTCTCTCTTGCATGTGAAGAAAATCAATTGGTGAGTATGAGGGCATCCCCACTCAGTGCGTCGTCGCTCTCTCATATTTGCACAGTCTCTACTGCGAGTGGAAAGATGAAATATTTACACATGTCTTTCATCATATCTTGCTTACGCTTGCAAGTCCAATCTTTGATTGCGATTGATTTCATCAACGTTGGCTCTCCTATGCATATACGTGTTTGATGTGGAGATGGTGTCAGCGAGGGTTTGTAAACTGAGCAGAATCAAGATGTCTAAGTGGGATGATTTTGAATGATCATGTAAGAAGTAGTAATTTTCATACTTGATATTAAAAGTTTTTCATAAATTGTTTCATTACATGCATTATTTTATGTTTACTGTTTATTTTATTTAGAAATGAATGATGTTGCTTATGTAATTTTATGTATACTGTAAAGAAACTCTAGTGAGGAGTAGTTTGCATCAATCATTTTATCCCAGTCATCAAAAGAAATTTTCGAAAAGTTCTAGAATGAGTGAAGACGCAAGTGAGAATATGTTTTTCACTGAATTATAAAACTCTGGTACTTTTATCGGTGGTAAATATGCTCATCAATTTTGTCTTGTTTTTTTGTACTTTTGTGTGAATACTTCATTCATTTTGAGTTATCTGTAGAACATTTTTGCAGTAACATTAATTATAAATTTATAGTGCATATACCTTCTTTGTTTCAGATTATATCCTCAGCGAGGGTTTGTTTCGTTTTAACGCAAACCATTGCGTTGTGCCTGTTCAGCGTTCTACATCATGCAAGTCCAACAGTAGTTGTATTTATTGTGCAATACAGCAAATAATTAAACTAGATCAACACAAGCAAAAACTTTGTTTTCGCATTTAATCTATTACTAGTCTCTATTCATTACTGCACATCAACTTGCTGACATTCTTTCAATTATTGGTCATCGGTACTTGATTTTTGCACTTTTGTTTTCTGGCAAATGTTTAGTAAATGGTAGAGGCTGGGTTGTTTTATATTTTATGTCACGTGGCATTGTTTAGTGACTTTGATAAATTAGATAAATAGAAACACTCATTAGTGATAGTCCAAGCTACGTTTTTCAGTAAGGCGGTTTGAATTTAGTAAGGAATGGTTCTATCAACTTTATAGCTTCTTGAAAGTAAATTATTGCATTACTGGTTACTTTCATAAGTTGATGCAAACTTCTTGTTGTCTAGAGATCGGTACTGTATTTAGGAAAGATGTCAATTAAAACTGACACACCTTGTGTATTGCTTCCTGCGGCAAATCATCTATCTGTTGAAAATGTTATTTCTAATACAGCCTCACATAAACTCGAAGACCGTGAAAAATGTAAAGTTGGTATTACTTCTAGCGTTGCGAAGTTTTTCCATGTAAGTTTTGTCACAAATGCTTTGGTATGTTATTTAGAAATGTTGGTAATGATTTATTTCAAGATATCTTTAATGCGTATAATTAAATCAGTAATTATAGTACTTTCTTACTATTTAAAGAACAGGCTTCTTTAATAATTGTTTGGTACTCAGTTTAACGTGTTTTAGGCTGATGGTATATTGGATGTGTTTGCGCGTGGTTTCTTAGCTGAACCTGTTTTGCGTGATGCGGAAGAGAGCTATCGTTATCTGATGGCTTTGGATCGTTACTGAATGAGAAAAACTATTGCTTCTCATTTGTCTTATTGATGATGGGGCTCACGTCTTTTTAAATCTATCTTCATAAACGAAATTTTTTTTGGAGGATGAAAAGCATTTTTTTTAAAACAAAGCTATTAATGATGATGTGATGAGATTTCTGTACTCGTGGCAGTGCCTGCTTAGATTTCCCGATTTTTTAAGTTGTAATTTATCTCAGGGCTAAACCCAGTACTGTAGAGTCAAGTCTTTTTTATATTAATCTTCTCATGACAACACAAATAGCTCATTTTTAAACATTTATTATTGAAAGATCTTATTTTCAAATTTATTTCTCTGGTTTTATTTCGCTTGGTTTTCTTTTAATAGGTTTCTTATAATTGTCATGTGTCGATTTGCTTTATTCACTTGGATTGAGTCCCTGGAAATGTAGTTTCATCCGTTTTTTCCTCCATTTTAATGTCAAACAAGTTTGTATCTCTTTTCTAAAAAACACCGGGTTTGCGTTTTTTGCATCTTACCAAAGTAGAACGGTAAGAGAAATATGTATGCAGGATTAATTCTGAAGGCAACACGCTAAGATATGCCAAATATTACCAAAAGTGCCAATTTGTTTTTAAAAAGTGATGGATAGTCATGCAGTTTATATATTACCCCTTACATCAGTGCATATACGGTTTTTGTATGCGTCTCCTATAAAATCAAACATGGGGTGTATGCTTGCTGGACAAATTGGAAGCAAGGTTTTGATGGGTATATTTTGTGAAACATAAGTTCTCTCTTGCCTTAAAATTACCCTTCTCTCGCGAAGGTTTTTCTTGAGGTTTGATAGTCATTAAATTAGAACATTTACTGTCTTTGATGAGAAAAGAATTTTCTCGCGAAATTTAATTTGTTACGGGAGATATAGGATTGGTAGCAAATTGTCAATATTTCTAGCCAAAAAAATCAATATTTCTACACGCAGTCAAGTGTTTTGTAGTCATGTGAGGTATGCTTGCATGGAGTAAACATTGATTAGTGCATTTTTCAGTTCCTTAGGGGTTTTTGTGAAGTACCATTAAACCAGGAATTGTTTCACAAACTAGTGTAGTACTGAGTGCGAAAAAGCTGTGATTATGCTTGCTTGACGTTTTGCTTCAATTCTACCCAACTTCAAAATTTAAGCGTTTTTTACTTTGAAAGTCTGATGATATATGTGAGATCAATTTCTGTTACTATTATTCTTTGTTATTTCCTGATGCGGGTACTGCCTTTTTGCTCATAATTTTTGTAATGCAGTCAACCTTAATATGATTTTGCTTCTGAAACTAGTGTTCAAAAAACGACTTTAAAACCTTTTCGTTTCAACAAGGTAATAAAAACAAAAACTTTGGAAAGTTATACAGATTAAACCAGTTTGATGGTAGCTCTGTAAATATACGATTTCTGAGTGACATCAAATTTGCCGGTTAAGAGATATTAGCTTCGTTACTATATTGAGTGGAGCTTGATTTGTAGACATTTACCATTCTTTTTTTTAAAGTTTTTAGAAAATTTTTCCGAGTTTGAAGATATCAGGTTCATAATTAATGCATTTTGTGGCTTATATTGATTCAGTGAGCTATTATCACGTTAAGTAGTCAAGTGAGTTGCTGAGCTAAGTCTGGGTAATGATCGAATTTTAATATTTTTTTCAATTCTGCATTAATTGTGTATTATATATACTCTGAAGGTTGTAGAAATGTATTTTTGATTCATAATACACTATTTTCTTTATCAGTGCTGTTATAATTTGTGATTTTCATTCCTGGAATTTTTTTTAAGAGTAGTTTCGAAATCTCCATAATAAGTAAAAACGAATGTGAAGCCGGTCGTCGGCATATTATGTTCTTTCAGCTTAAATTGATTTCGGGACACAACCATCAAATTCATTTGTCACCCAAAAATTTAAATTTGTAAAGTTTACGCGAATAATTTGATTCAAATAGAGATAATTACAGAAGGAAAGATTAGGTGCATCATTTTAGATTTTTAATTCGAGATTCTAATGTATGGAGATAATATACGGTTATAACTTATAATACGAGCGTGCAGTATTGTTACACAGTACGATCAAAATTGTATTCCCTCTTTGTATATGCGAAGGTATGAAATCCTGTATCGTGTCAAGGTGGAATGATATTAGCGAAGGTTTGTATTTAGTGTAATATCATTAAGACTTGGAAACTTTCACCTAAGACATTGTGCAAAGATGATTCTTTTGAGTTTATTAAAGGCTTTAGGAATGTAATATAAAAAATTTGAATATAGTTCTTTATGCCAGTTCCAGAATTTATTGTCGTTTTTACAGTTCTATACCATACATGGAATTCTTGGCCAGACGTTTCAAGCAAGCAGTTAGATTGTTAATACCGTCAAGACAAGGCGTATACCATGTATGTTTATTTTTCGTATTTTTGTGCACATATGGTTGGTTTTACCTACTGTTTATTTTGTTTGATTGGTTAGCATATTTAAAATTCGTACTATCACTTGAGTGAGATTTATAAAAGAAATAATAATTCATGAAAGTGTATTATTTCACAAAAGTTTTCGGATATGCTAGAAGTATATTGCCAGATCATAGAAGTATGAATGACTAAACAATCAAAATGATGGTTAACTCAGTCATTTTTTCGTTTCAGGACTGTTCGTTTTCGAAAATGAAGCATGGTGAATTTGACGGATATGTACCGGTTGGTAAGCTTTTTTAAATGTGTAATTGTTTTTAAATGTGTAATTGTTTGTGGATAACCTAAATATTCAGGAGTATGGAAGTGTAAAACGTATATCGACATTGTTTTTAGTTGACTCCTAAGTTTGGGGATGGGAATATAGATCGAAATTTCCAGTTTTTTATAATTTTAGTTTACGTGACTTTGATTGAGTATAGTGATGTTATTTGTTCAAAATATTGTCGAGGAATAAATACTGCTTGTTTTGTTGTTATAATTATCTAGGTGTAGAAATATTAATGCTTATTTATGAAGGATAAATGAGTTGAATTATTTTTTCTCTTTTACTTCAGTATTATTCGCATTTATCACTAAATCTATATTTCACATCACCCGCATTATATTTTTTTTTTATAGAACGAATTGAAAAGCGATTCATGCGAAGCAGCGGTCCTGGTGGCCAGAATGTGAATATGGGTACGTAGTAGTATAAATCAATTTTTTTTAAACGCTATCATTTATTTTAGGAGGGTTTTCAAATATATGTAATCATTTATTAACAAGAAAACTCTTATGAGGTTAATTCTTACATCACTTTTCAAAACTTGCATCCTAAGACGAAAAGATATATACCATTACTTTAAAGTAACAGATGACATGTTGAGGAAGAAATTTTTCGATAAAAAGTCATGTCATTTTAAAGATTAAAAGTCATCAATAAGTGCTTCAACTTCAAAGTTTTGAATTCCTCAAAAACTTTTTTAAAAGAAATTTATATTTTCCTCGTAAAATACAGATAGTCATCATTTTTCATATTTTTTTCGGATGTTGCAGTCTCATTTAGCGCAATATTTGTGAACAGTAAATTTAACTCTGAATAACTTGCACATCTAATGTTATTACAGCGTAAAAAAATTCTTTGTTCATTTCATTGAATACCTGATTGAATACTGAATTTACCATTCATCAGTCTGCATATTTTTAGTACCTTACAATTTTGCCAAAAGTCTGTTTTATTAACAATCAATTTTATTATTTAGAATTTATTCTCAGTTAACTCAAAATGTCAAATACGATTCAATTTAAATGAAGCAAATTGGTTAAGTTTGGAAATTCGTCAAATATTTCGGAAGCGTTACCCCCATTTGCTTAATAAACTAGAGGACGTTGTAATTTCGGCAGATAAATCAAGGGTTCAGGTGGTTTGATAATTTCTTTTGGTACTAACTTAAATTGCAGAGAATATTTAAAATTTATATTTAAAACGAATTTGGATTTGATTCAACTATTCATTACCAAAAGAAATTTTTATAATAGTAGTGATTAGCATATTTAAAACTGTTATCACTTTGCTCTTGATATTTTTAGATCTTTCTCACACGTAGCTCCAAGATTTTTAAAGATGTATCAAATCCTCTTTAACAATATTTTCTTTTCTGCTCAATCAATTAATAACTTTTATTTGCATTAGAAATTGTTATATGTTGTTGAATCTTGATCGGAAATGTCTTAGTAGCTTATACTACAGAAGTTTTGATTTCTACATGAAAGATATCAGCAAATTTTCCTCAAATACTTGAAATTGTATTAGCCATGCAATTAGGTATTTGAAGCTAATTTATAGGCCGAAAATCAAGTAGAGTGCATTAAAAAATTGCAAGCCATGCTTTTTGAATGCAATAAAGAATTTCTGAAAAATGTGCCACCAACCGATGAGGATCAAAAAATTTTGCAAAATAGGTAAACTTTTTTTGAAATCTGGATCATTTCAGACACAATTTGATGTCGATTAGTCTACTCATTTTTGCAAAAGATGAAGTAAACGATTCATTTATCCGCTAGCTATTGAATCACGAGATTTTTGGAAAAATTTTTGATTTTAATTGTTTAGTTTTGATTTTCAAGAGTTTATAAATTTTTAGGGCAAAAAAAGCTTCTGAAAGAAGACTGAAAATCAAACAAAGGCTGTCTGAAAAAAAGAAAAGTCGTTGCTTGTATGAAATTTTTTAGGAAAACATTTTAATGTAGTAAAAGTGTTTTTTGATCCATAATCTTAGGTTACTGAATTGAGCGACAAACAATATTTTCTGTGTGATTTTAAAAAAAAGCGCTAAAACTTTCTGAACTTTGTGTTAAGATAATTGGGACAATTTTTTATGTATATATAATGTTGCTAGGGTATTTTACTTATTCTAATTTTTTTCTTGATATGTAATAAACTGGTTTTGTAAAGCAGTTCAGTTCTTTCCACTTTTTAGAATCACAAGCTAATCCTTTGTTTCAGAATTGTCATTCATAACGGTATTCTGAACAGCAATACATTACCTACAGACTTATGCAAGCTTTATTCTAGGGACTCTGTCTTAAATTCCACTATTTTTAGTGTTCTGCTTGTAAAAAGTTAATTTATTATTTGTTCTGCAAATTGCACTGCAGGAGATATTCGTTTTTGAGTTTATTATATTACAGTGAACAGCGAATGAATTATCTAAGACAAGAGAACTTTATACAGATATTATAGGCAAATTTTCCTAAGCAAAAGTGAAAGAAATAACAGGATTCAGTTTGTATTAAGAGAATTAATCCGAAACACATCAGTTGTTCGATGTATTTTATTACTCAGTTCCAGCAACTTTACAGCATTTGTTGAAAAGAGTGGAAAAGGCTCGGGAAACACATTGTTGGTTGAAACACTCAGACTATAATTTGGAGAAAAAAAGATGATATAACCAAAAGTATCGAGCGCTTTTTATAGAAAAATTAATTTTCAGCTCGATTCGCATTTGTATAATACGAATTTGGTGCATAAATTTTTTAAAATTATGTCAATGTGAAAGTTGGCTTTGTTAAATTTCACTCAAAATTTGGGTATGATTCATATGAGCTTGAATAATAATGCACGATTATCAGTTTCTTTTAAACAAAAATTACGTCTGTCAGAATACTCATAAATCACGATTATCAGTTTCTTTTAAACAAAAATTACGTCTGTCAGAATACTCATAAATTGTGCGTATAAGTTTTTTCAAACTCGTTGATTTTTTATTAATTCATTCTTTGTTACTCATTTTTTGGGTTTTGAAAGAAATTATGAGAAACTAGTTTTGATAATTTTTCAAAAAATCTTCACATTTCAACACTTCAGCAAGCACTGCGTCATTTACTTTCACAATTTTGATCGAAATTTACGCCCTGTTAATTTGTAAGAAGACACTTTTGATAGAATGGCAAATCATGAAATAAACTCTGAATAAATTATTATAAGTGTTGCACACAGTACGGTTGTTTTTTAAAGCATTCATTTGACTTTTGCATTTTATCGATTTGAAGAATTGATAAGTAACCATTAACAAACTTTCAAAGCGGAAAAATTAGGTCGAATTTGAGTGATTAAATTGAATACATCGCTTCACTTCATTACTGGGAAATAAAAGGCATTTGGGGAATTGATTTTAAAAAAAGGGAGATTATTTAGCGAAGAGAAAAGTGTCATGTGTTGGGGAGAAGGGGGGGGGGGTTGCTTACGTTTGCGATCATATGTTCTTACTTCGAACACTTAAAATTTAGACGTGCTATCAAAACTTAACTTGAACACTTAAATTTGCACGTGCTGTTTTGTAGAAGTAAATAGGATAGCAGAGGAGAAGAAACTGTGAAAACTGACTTTAATCACTCAATTTACGAATTACTCTTCAATTTTACTGCTTTTGCAAATTCATTACTTCATTTCAATTTTACACTTAATTTCAAAATTTGAATAAGAGAGCAACAAAGGTTATGTTTGAAGTGAATTGAAAGGTTTGTAGTGATAGTTGCACGAGAAGGAGTGCGTGTAGAAGAAGCAAACAAAGAAGAAAGATCTGAAGAAGAGAAAGAAAACATTTTATGAAACATTGGGGAAAAAAGAATTAAGTGACGAAAAGGGAAAAAAGATAGAAAGAGGTAAGTAGGAGAGGAAATTATTGAAGAGGAGAAAAATTACAAACCATAGCGTTGTGCTACCAAATTTCATATTTTCAGTGAGGTATTTTACTTCCATCAATTAGGTGTTCAGTTGTGGTATATTAGAGGTTAAGATTCGTAAAAGGGGAGATGTAGATGTGGTTTTGATGTAAGCCCATTTTATCGAGTTTAGCTTCGATGAATTGTATTTCAGTGTATTTTTAGAAGGATAAAAAATTACAATTATCACAACTCAAATGTTCAATATCGGAAGAAGACAGATTGATAACAGTAATGTATAGCAAAGTACATTAAATGCAGATAGATGTAAATTTAATACATCTGTTGGTGGGACTGATCTAATTATGATGAAATTAGTATCAAAAGTATTTATCATGAAATTATGGGCTTGAATTCAAGATTTTCCACCTTGTTATCTAATGCCACTGAAGATTGTTGCAAAAATTACGCTTAAAGATAAAAGCTAAAAGAGCTTTAGAAACTGACTTTAGCCATTTATTATCCTACCAGTAACTAAGCACATTATTCAGGAGGTAGTACAGTAATTAGTTCTTATTCTGAAACCAAGAAAAGATCACAGATTAAATTAAATAAGAACGTGGAATCGACGAGATGTTTAAAGTCATGCAGGAAGAATTTTTGTATTTGTCAGATTCCTATCCGGTTGTTATGCTCAGTTTTTGTTATTGATTGGCATAATATAAACAATCACTAAGTACAGCTTGGTCGATCGGTATTTTGTTGATATTTGCTTTAATTGCTATTTTTGAATCTTTTGAAAATGATTAAGTCTTACCATCATTAATGATTCAAGGAAAGAGACACAATGCTTAAAAATTATCATAATGTGAATAGTTATTTATTTTACAATTGTATGATAACATTAATTGTCTCATAACTTGATTCTTCCAGAGATGGTCTCATTTGCAGGTGTACTAGTAGAAAAATTATGGGTTCTTTCAAAAACTAAATATTCCTGGCCTTAATCAGTAGTAGTGACTATTGTTTAGAGCAACAATAATTTTAGTTGAGTATTTTAATATGTGTTTATTCCGTGTTGCGATCGAAAATCTTGTAGTTTTTTGAATAATTCATTGTTTTCGTAATTTTTTCAGATATTTAAAGATGGGTAAATAGTCCATATCGCTATTGAAGTGAATCATGGATAGTAATGCAAATCGTGTGGTACCCATGCGATTATTTGCAAATTGGGAAACGGATCGGACAATAACTTGTGCTGTACAACGGTTTGTTTTTTCATTATTTTGATTTCTAATATATTTTTGTTTATTCTATCTCATTTCATGTTTGACATGTAATAATCTCTTCGCATTTTTTAATGGAACCATATATTATTTCCAGATTTATTATTGTTATTTCTGTGGTCGATAAATTTTAAATATTTTTAATTTAATATGGTTCTAGTTGTTTAACACAATAAATAATACGTAGAAAATATTGTGATGTTGGGAGTATATCATGTTAACAGTTTATTTAAAAAGTAAGGATAGTAGCAGTACTACACACAAGTATTAATTGAAATAGTGTGTAAAAGTGGCATTTGTTATGATGTTAATTTGTAAATTTGGGCTACTACAAATTTTAGAGTATAATATTAACTGTTAATTTATCAAAGGAATTGGTGGTTCTTATGAAAACTTTAAATGCTCTCCGTCCTTTATCTGCAAGTGATATTGAATTTCTCTTTCAGGATGTTTTCAATGGCTTTAACTCGTCTGGTCTTCAATTCTCTACGGGAAAATCAGTCTACTCTTGTTGTCACTGTAAAATTACTTGTAAGTTCGTAATTTGCAGCTTTGAAACTTTTCTACTGTGTTTTTCAAATTGTATATGAATTTTATATTTGATGGTGTGTGGTTGTATCTGAAAAAATCGGTGTTGGATTTTTAATCCAAACTTTATTTAAGACACTTTAAAAATATTTTACAGTCATGGTAATGAATAGCACATGTTTATGATAAGAGTACGTACTGTTAGATATCGGTATGGTAGCAGTGTTATCACCATACCATAATGTTCGCAGGTCGCAAAGAAAACAATATTGTACTCTTCTCATACATTGTAAGATTTCATATGAAGTGGGTGCCCTGTGAATGCTTACAAAGTCCTTTAACATTTCAGGGTTCAAAACGATCTCTTCGCAGTAATGATTTCCAAATTCAGTGTCGGAATGGTAAAGTTGATGTAGATCTAAATATATCATTCACAATACAGGTACATCATTCAAATACATATCACATATTGTAATTCTTTAACTTTTGTGCTGTAATAACTTTTACATAACATAATATGACCTAACATTTGCAAACAAATTCCTTTTCAGTATCTCCATTTTTTGAAGCGAAAAAGAAATATTTTACAAATTTTACTCCAAAGGCGAAAACGGTATAAAAATCGACCAATTTTGGGTTATAAAACATTGGCTGTTGGTAAAATTTTTTTATCTTTATTTTTTCATAATTTCTAAAATTCTTCAGCAGTTCTTTTTTTTTTCATTAGGCGTTATTAACTTCTAAATTCACTGCGTTAACTTCATGTATTATAAATTTAAACATTTTTATTTTGCAAGGCCTTGTTTCAGAACACATAAGTTTCAGGAACGATGAATTTATCAGAAATTTTACAGAATTGCTCTGTTCGTGAAATTGCTCTCTTTGATCCAGATGCAGAAAAGGATGACCTGCAAAATATTAATCGTAAGCAATAATAATTTCATGAAAATGCTGCAACACTTTTAATAGTACAAAATTTGTATTGTCAAGTTCATGTCACACTCTTCTCAGTGATTAAGATTTATGTGTTAATAATAATTATGCAGATGTTTGTTCTACATTATAATTGCTTTATTTTAGCATTGCGTTTTTATTTAAACTAGTATTATGTATTTCTTGTTAAGCTAAGAGCAGCAGTTTTTAATTGTAACAGAAATTATATTTTGTGCGAATTATTGTTTTCCTGTTCATGTTATAAATTGCTAAAGAACTATGAATAACATGACAAAATAATGAAATAAGCTACGTAATTAGTATTTTATTGGAAAATTTTCAGCAATTGGACGGCTTGTTGTTGGATCATGCCAAAATCAGGCATTTGAAGCTGAGAATGAAGTTAGGGTAAGAAGAATCAAAGACAAAGAACTTGAAAGTGAAGATGATGATGATAGTTCATCAGATGTGCAAGAGACAAATGATGAACATGAAATGCCTGATTCAGGTCGTTCGGTTCCTAAGCAAAGGTAAAGTTTCATAGAAAGTTTTTCATAATTTTGTTATTTCTCTTAAACGATTCTATTGTATTTTTCTTCGGTTTGGTAATTTATTCACGTTATCTACTTAATAATTTTTAATATTTTTTGCCATTCACCTCATCAGCTACTAAACATGTTTTAGGTATAAATCGCGGAAAACGCATGAACAGAAAATCGCACGAAAGAATTTGAAACAAAAGTTTTCGTCTTTGTTAAAAAAGTTCAAAATAGCTGAAGAAGGAGCACCAGGTTGAAAAACTTATTTTTTATACTCATTGAATTACAAGCCGATACTAAACTCAAAAAGTAGTCGAAGTGAAATTAAAATTATTTAGACTCAATGTCACGAAGTGGTAGTGTTGCACCTACAGCTCAAGAACTGGAAGAACTCTTTGAAGAACTCGATAATTTATCTGACTCTGGACCAGAAATGGTGATGGACAATTTAAGCATTGTTAGTAACCCTCGCCCTGGTTTGCGACCTTATTTTGCATCGTCATCACGAGAAGTGCTACCATCTATTACAGATGAAAAAGCATTGGTATATTTTTGAATTGCATTTTCCTCGAATCATTAAATTATTTCCACTGAAAATCTTTCATTATTATTTGTATTTTTCAGAATTGACGAAAGTAATTGAGATATGTTTTAGGATAATACAGAAGAAACGGAAAGTGATGAAGAGGCTAGTACTGATGTTGATAATCAGATGGTTGTACCAACTAGTTTGTAAGTTATTAATTTTATAAAAGCAAAAGTTTGTTCTGTATAATTTTCGAATATGCCATTTACAAATTTTTATGCTTTATTATTCACTGCTTTTTTTTCCATTCGTTCTTGATATAAATTAATGTTATATTAAGATTTAAATTTTATTTCTAACTTTTCTGCAGTAAAGTATAATTTTTTGGGATAGAACTAAGAGTAAATAGAAAATATAAACGTTTTAAGTTCTGATCAATATATATTCAATTCAGCTGTGTCACCTCTATAATTGAAAATTTTTTTTGTGTAGGGTCATTACCTTTTTATTTAAACAATTTAAATCTAGAAATTCAGTAGATTTTTTATTCGTCTGTCAGTATTGAAAAGTACTGGATATTCAACTCCTATTTCATAACACAGTTTTTATTTTTTTTATACTTTGAGACCTGATTCAACTGAAAAAAATTATCGAAAACTTGTTGCAACGATTGAAACAAATCCAACTGCTTATATGTCAAGTAGTGTACCTGGTTCTCAGCTCAACGCTCAAAATGTTGCAACATCAACGTCTGTTGGCTCATTTTATCCAGGTTCATCAGATTCTGATCCATCAGCTGTCCCAATTGGAAAATCACGTGTCTTTCCAATACGTACATTATCAATCACTGACTGGGTAAATTCATAAGTAAAAGTTGTTCATGTAATTGTCGTGATTTTTTTGATTTGCAAGAAAATATACAGCGTTTAATTTGTCATATCAAATATTCCTGAGGTTAATAAAAACAGTGTGCATAATGAGATTAAGTTTTTTAAAACTTTAGTGGATGAGTTTAGTTTTCTTAGTGAAAATGTGCCGAAAATGATTTGCATTCTTACAGTTATCTGCTGTTGTTCACGATGAAGAGCCATGGAATGTTAATGAACGGCTCTGGTTATGTGGTAATTGGGACATATCTGTACCAGCATTTCTTGGTTCTGTAGTTCGAATACTAGACTGCTCATCATTCAATGATTGTCGTCTATTGATCTCATCGATTGTTGCAAAAATACAGAAATTGTAAGCGATTTTTTCGTTCCTTCAAGTCTGTAAAAAATACTCATTGATTCTTTGTAAATTATAACCTTCAAAACAATTTTAATTTGTAAGAATTTTTTGAAACAAGTTATGTAATTAATCAAGTTATAGCATTTCAGAGTCGTTAAAAATTCTTCTGAATCTTATTATATTTACTTTTAAGCTGTAACAGCTCTTCGGCATCTCCCCCGTGCACAATACTTGGTGTAATTGGTTCAGAAAAATTAGTTAGCCTTGTTCTTCGTGCCTATGTGGAATCATTACAAAATAAATCAGCTGACTGGATTAATTTTCTGAGGTCAGTTTGATTTGCTCATATATGATAATTCAAATCTTTGTTCTGCATATTTTTTCTATCTTTTTGAATTCTCGGAACAGGTTGTAAAATCATTAATATTTCACTTTTTATAATTGATTTTTGACTCTAAAGATGGAAAGTTCAAAAAAGAGTAGTAAATGTCAAGAATTTATTTCTTCCTATTTTCCTCTTTATTATGTATTTTTTAAAGTTAAGCCAGAAATATTTTGATATTTTGTTCTGTAGATAAATAAGCATTTTTGTCACACAATTTATTGTGTTCAGTTTCCACTTTTGTGGTTACTGGTTTTTAGTTATCATTTTTATAATAGCTAAATCTAATGATTTTCATACAATCTAAGATAAATTCATTTAATATTAGGAATTGATTTATTTTAGATTTTGTGTTATTATGCCACCATCTTCTCTACTTAGTAAGGTTTTTCAAATCGATGGTACATTTTCTTTGAGCGAAATATTTACAAAAAATGTCGATGAATTTTCTTCGTTCGAATTGAAGACGTTCGCGGATAAAATTCGAAATGTATCGGATGGAAAGTCTCAAAAATTACCCATTGGTGAAGCAATGCTACAATTATATAAGAAGGCGTAAGTTAATGCTATTTAAGGTTCGAGTTGTTCTATATTTTATGGAGTATCGTCAGATTTTAAAGAAGAATATTTCTTTGATGTATTTTTGTATACACATGTCATTAATTGTTTTGATCAGTGTTCGATTGATTCAGTTTTATTGTTTGCATTGCTCACCTTAAAGTTGTAGTGCAGATGATGAGAAGGAAAGTTCATCCTTCGTTCCATTTCTCTATGAAGTTCGGGTAGGTCAATTCGACGAAGATATTGAAAGCTGTAATACTTTCTTCAGATCAAATGATGACTCTCAGGTATTTTCTGAACACTAGACAATTTCACTGTAATTCTGAAAGAAACTCAGTCCTAATCGTAATTGATGCATTTTGATCCAATAAATTTAAAGTAATTTGATATCAGTCATGAAAATTAAATAGAAATCATTTGTTGCATATTTTCTTAATAAAGTTTCGTGATACGGATGCTGTTTAAGGGTGTTTTTGGTACGCAGCAGTTATCACCTCCCTTGACTCCTCATAATATAAAGTTATGTGATCCTCAAGATCTTCTTATCGAATATTGGGTACCAAATAATAGCCAAAGTGTAAGTTAAAAGCTTCTTTTTTACTTTATGTATTGTGCGTTTTGTAAAAAGTATACTCATATCAGCTTTGGTAAGCTGTCGGCATAGTTGGTCAGCTATATAGATTACCAGGCTGATATGAAATACTTGTTTACGAGTTTTTTTAATAAGCATAGTTCGTAAGTAGTGTATGTATATTTATATTACTAAAAAATAATGGGTTTGATCCAGGTTGACGGTGGTACAAGCAGTGTTAACAGTGGTGGAGGAAGTTATACTTCAATTAAGCGTGAACCACAGTTCTTGAAATGCTCAATTCGATCTGCTTTTCGTTCACTTACAGTATTTCGGAAACCGTTTAATGTTCTCCTCTCGTTCGAGTTTGTAAAAGAACGAAGGCGTGATAAAATGTTTCAAAAACTGGGGATGAAGAAAGTTCAGGTGCGCTTTCAGAAAGTGCCTCATAAAAATTACATTTTTATCGCGTTTGGTATCATGTTCGAAAGATGATTACATTTGCTTATTTTCAAAGTTTCGGAAAACTGTTGTGTTGTGGAAAAAATCTAACTTTTTTAGAGAAGTGAATCAGAAAATCAAAGTCCTGTTCAGTGTATTAACAACGTCGCACGTCTAATTTGTAGTGGAAAACATCCCCTTACTGGTGCGTTAGTTAATGATATAAACTACTATTTGATACATGCGAAGAGTTAAAAAATTTTGCAGTTTTTTTTAGGTGAATAAATATTGAGTTCATAATGAGTTCATAAAGCACTTTCAAATATTTAATCATTATTTTTAGTTCATCGATACAAGTTAATGTAAGACGGCTGACTCAGTAAATATAAATTGTAATTTAACTAATGTCTGATACTTATGTAATGTAGAACATGGCAAATGGATTCTCTTTGATTTCAAATGTAATGTAAAGTTGTGGTCTTTTTGTAAATTAAATTATGTATAATGTTTAACTTTTCAGTTTTGATTGATGGCTACACTTGGTCTGAAATACGTTTTTTTCAAATTTCTGCTCATTGGCAAACGCATGTGAAGTATTTCCCTATCTGTGGGCCATCTGATTCATAATCCTGTTTACTTCTTTCCTAAAGATCTTGCTTAGCTAGCAATGCTAAAAATATTTTTTTACGAGTAATTTCGATCTAATGCATTTGTAGTTATTTCTCAAAGCCATTATTTTATTATGTCTTATATCTTTTCTGAATCGTGAATTGAGAATTCAGTTGTTACTTTGGGAATTAAATTTTTAAAATATGACGAGCAATTGCATTCAAAGATTTTTTTCCTGTTTGAAAATTTCTGATGTTTTATATTATATTGCTTGCTTGCGCAACTATTCTGTATAAGGGTATATGGCTGTAGTTTCTATGCAAACTATCATAGTTCTAATATTCACATCAAGCTTTAAACTGATGATTTATGTCAAAATCTTAAAAAGTTTTTCTTACTCATCAAAAATGAGGCTTCAGCCTACTGCTTATTGAGCAAAACTTGATGAGTGTTGAAATTTTTTTCTTACAAAATTTGGTTTGCATAAACACTGCATTTGACTCCTCTAATTTTTTTTCTCTCCTAAAAATTGTTCTCAAAGTAACTATTAATATCTTTACATATTTTGATGTTTGCTATACCAATTAATAAAATTTGCTGTACTTTTTGCGCATATAACCTAAGTATAAAGTCAGGGATCAATCAAGTAATCAAGCAGCAGGGTCTTATCTGATAAATGGGGATGACAACTTTATTTGTCGCAGATATATTGCTACTTAATTTATTATAAAGATCTTGGATTATGAGGAGCTGACAGTTGACGTTAGAAATACGATAAATAATCTATGTAAAATACTATTACCTCAAGTTTATGACTTGAAGAGGAATGAAAATCGTATTTCTGGAACAGTCATGTTTTACTTTTATTTATTCATTATTAGCTGAGTAGTTTTGTGACTTCTTAATATGCATAAATTGTTCTCGACAAAGATTTAATTTGTGCTTATTTTATCATTATTTAAACAAGGGATTTCATTTAAAAATTAGAGAAGACTCAATTTCCAATTCATTATTACTTGATGAGTAATTGCAACCAGCGTGTTAACCATAGTAATAGTTGCTGGTTTTTTGTGGTTTGTTAATTATATTTTTGCAACTGTAATTAATTGCTCAAAAATATTTTCACGAAAGTGAAAGCTTCACGTCAAGACTAAAGCTGATCACGTGAAAAAAGGAAAAATTTTTTCGAATAATAAAACATTGGTTTTGATTCTTTAAAATCACAATTCCAGCCGTGGATTATATTACTAATCGTTATAACTGTTTTTATCAGCGAAACCAATACTTTCAATAACAATGATAATCATGATAATAGCCTTAAAATTGAACTAAATGAGTCAGAAATTGGTCGACTAAAGGTTATTAATTCTGACTTTTGTTTCTAAGCAATTTGAATTTTACTAATTATGGAATTGGTTTATTTATTTGAAATGTTGTAATCAAACTAAAGCAAGAAAAATAGAGTTATGTAAGAATTCATGTTTTTTTATTTAAGCACATCACTTTTAGCAAGAGGAATATAGTAGTAAACATTATTAACAATTATCACCTCATTTGATTTGTTAATTTTTTAACTATGCTTCTCAGTCATGTTTGAAGGTTCAATTTTTTTGGAATTGAGTCATTATTTTGCATCATTTTGAAGCTAATCTAGATATTTTAAAATAAAACAGATCAATGATTCGTATAAAAATGTCAATCGTGAAAAGATCATATTGGGTTAGATGATAGAATTAGCCTTAGCACTAATTTATTAAGAGATTCTTTTTGAAAGTAAGCAAATAAAAATTTCGTCTTCGATAATTTATATTCAAAAACGAATTAAAGTATTCTGTTGATAGATGATGAGGGACAAGATTTTGAATTTTCGAAACTTTCGAGACAGAACCTTTCAAGATACTGAAATTATTGCTGAAATAAGCACTATTACTATTCTTTTTTGCGTAGAAATCTTGCTTTTATATATGCTCAATATATAAATGTCCATAAATAACTTGGCCGCTAATATTTTCTGGCAAAAAATTTAATAATTTGGAAAGAATTCCGAACGCATTTATCTCTCATCAATCTTATTGCTGCAGTAATTAGCTAATTTTGAATTTTTTTCAACATTTGAAAAATTAAAAATAATTCGAAATTTAAGGCCAACTACTTACTACGGAAATGTTTGCATGCAATGTTATTATCTACCAAAGATTTTCAACTTTTTCTTGATTTAATCCTACGAAATAGAAGCGAAAAATGCTTGAAGAATATTGACAAGTTACTTCTCACTTATGAGAAGCATTTTGTCAACGACTGCCGAAAATTACTGTTAAGTAAAGTAAGACTTACTTTACTGATACTTTTTGGACTACATTAAATAGTGCTTATGTTATGAATGCACAAAAAATGTCTGAAAAATAAAATAAAAAAAACTAAAATTGAACTGTTTTAATAATAAAATTCCGAATCTAAAATTTGAATCTAATTTGGAATCGTCTTAAACTATTTTTTAATAAAGATTCTGAATTTTCGTCATTGAAGTTAATGAACACAAAAATATAAGTTTTTAAGCAGAGATAGAAATATACTTATACTTTATTATTTAATACAGCAAGAAATTACAGTGTTGGAAGCGTTTTTTGAAAAGGATTTATATAGGTTATTATTAATAAAAATGAGTAAAGTGCTTCGATTATAAATTAATTTATATTATCACTTCATGAACTGTACCATCTGAATTTAAATTCAGATATATGCTACCAAGATTTCATTCTAAAAAGTGATCTTGGAATAATATTTTGTACTTCTTAATCACAGACTAAGATGCGATGTGTATTGGCTTGGAATGTACAAAATGTAATGAAGAATCACACATTTCTGAAAGTTCGCTGCTCTAAGTTGTCAATTTTATCAAGAAAATGGTTGAATCAAATTAATGAGTTGCATTATTCATGCATTCGACTACATTTAGACAATTCTGAACTCAAAAATAGACAATTTCTAGAAAAGCATTTGACAGGTAGAATGCATTTGCTTTGATAATCTTCTTGCATTCTATTATATTTTGAAAATAGTTACTTGTTAAATTCTGTGAGACAAATATGCTTGTGGAAAGTTTGTTTCTTCGATATTTGGAAATTTTAATTAAGCAAAATTTTGAAAGCTTTTCTTGAAATTTCCTTCTGTAACATCAAAAATATTATTACTGTAGTGGTGTGAAATCCAAAATAGAATAAAGTTTTATATTAAAACTTCAAAAAATCCATACAAAATGATCTTTCTTTAAACTTCAAGTTTTAAGTTTTTGGCAATGTCATTAACTTTTTGCCAAAAATTTTCGTAGTAATTTAAAAAAAATTTTTTTATTCAAAAGTTATTACAGTATTTATCGTTGAAAAATGTCCTTACTATATTTTTTCTTAAAATTTTGTTTTCACTTTTCTAATACAGGTTTTAATCTGTACTCAGAAAATTTTTATTCAGTAATAAAATTTTGATGTTACAGAAGGAAATTTCGAGAAACGCTTCAAACGAGATAATGTTGATGAAATAAATGATGACAATGAAGCTTCGAAATCAGAAACAAGCTCTCAAACTTTGCAAGTATCAAGCAAAGGCTCAAGAGTCATTCAGGTTTCTACAGAAGTTACCGAAAGAACAACAATTAATGATATTCAAAATTCAGAATCATATGAAGATAGTACAGAAAAGTGGGATTACTCAAGTTCTCCGGCTATTTTTTCACAGTATTGGAGAGATGATCAAATTTCTGAAGTCTCAAAAATAATGATTGAGAGCACAACAAATAGTGGCAGCTCAGATTCAGAAGTAGATAGAATTAGTACAGATGTAACTGACTACGATGATGAGACGGATTATTCAACAAGTCCTTCAGCTATTATGTCACAATATTGGAGAAATAATCAAACTTCTGAAACTTCAACAACAATGATTGAAAGCACAACAAATAGTGGCAGCTCAGATTCAGAATTAGATAAAATTAGTACAGATGTAACTGATTACGATGATGAAACTGAGGATTATTCAACAAACCCTTCAGGTATTATGTCACAGTAATGGAGATATAATCAAACTTTTGAAGCTTCAACAATAATGATTGAAAGCACAACGAATAGTGGCAGCTCAAATTCAGCAGTAGATCAAGGTAGTATAGATGTAACTGACTACGATGATGAGGCTTAGGATTACTCAACAATCCCTCCAGCTATTACGTCATATTGGAGAGAAAATAAAACTTCTGAAGTTTCAGTAATAATGATTGAGAGCACAACAGATAGTGGTAGCTCAGATTCAGAAGTAGACCAAAGTAATACAGATGTAAATGATTACAAATACAAGAATTACACTGAAAACCTTCTAGCTATGACGTCGCAACATTGGAGTGAAAATCATACTTCTGAAACTAAGAGCACAACAGTTACTAGCAACTCAGTTTCAGAAGTAGTAGATCAAAATTATACAGATGTAAATGCCTATAAATATGGGACTAGGAATTATTCAACAAGCTTTCCATCTAATATGCCACAATATTTAGATAGTTATCAAACTTCAGAATTCGAAGAAATCTCAGAAACTTCGTAAGCATCAATTTCTGATGATAATTTGTTTAAAAAAAATGATAACAAGTTGCACTTTGGAATTTTTGATAATGAACAAAAAATGATGACTATGCAACTATGACATATTGTACGAGATTCCTAGCAATACATTGTTTCAACTGTACATTGTAGTTGCGTTATCCATCACGCTCATTCAAATGTGAATTATTTTAGTGTATGGCTCCACAATTCCTCTAATCATCCTTTTATACCAGCGATGGTTAGTCATTATACAGAAGCAGACTACAATCATTCAAACGAATACTCTCATTCAACATCACATCCTGTCTACTTAAGCAACGGTAACTCTAAATTTGGCATTTCATTACACCTCTAATAATTTGAATCTGATGATTTGATGGTTAGTTCTAACAAAATTGATCATAATAACAAATTTTTTGAATTCAAATTATG